TAAAACCTTCATCTAGTAACTGATGGAAGCAGATGCAGAGATCCACAGCTAAGCACTGGGCTGAACTCCTGGAGTCCAGCCATAGAGAGGGAAGAGCAATATTACGAACAAAGGGTCCAAGATCATGATGGAAAAATCCACAGGAAAAAAAAACTAACCCTAGCTAGTAGAACTGACATCTAGGGAACTTGCCAAAGACCAAACTAGGACCTCTGATTGTAGGTGACAGTTGCATGGCTTAGGCAGTTTGTGGGGCCACTAGCAGTGGAACTAATATTTATCCCTAATGCATGAACCGGCTCTTTGGAGCCCATTCCCTATGGAGGGATACCTTGTTCAGCCTAGATACAGAGGGGAGGGCCTTGGTCAGACTTTGTTGACTCCACATGGGATGCCTCACCCTCTCTGAGGAGTGGATGGAGGGTGGGGTTGGGAGAAGATGGGGAGGACAGGAGGGAGATGGAACTGGGATTGGTATGTAAAATAAGATTGTTTTAAAAACAAAATAAAATATTTTTTCTTAAAAAGGAGTTTAAGTCCGGTGCTCCAATGTGGGTCTCTGTCTCTATCTCAAGGTCCAAATCAGGAGCAGAAGGAGAGAGAGCATGAGCAAGGAACCCAGGACCGCGAGGGTTGCACCCACACACTGAGACAATGGGGATGTTCTATCGGGAACCCACTAAGGCCAGCTGGCCTGGGTCTGAAAAACCATGGGATAAAACCGGACTTGCTGAACATAGCAGACAATGAGGACTACTGAGAACTCAAGAACAATGGCAATGGGTTTTTGATCCTACTGCACGTACTGGCTTTGGGGGAGCCTAGGCAGTTTGGATGCTCACCTTACTAAACCTGGATGGAGGTGGGCGGTCCTTGGACTTCCCCCAGGTCAGGGAACCCTGACTGCTCTTCGAGCAGATGAGGAAGGGGGACTTGATCGGGGGAGGGGGAGGGAAATGGGAGGCGGTGGTGGGGAGGAGGCAGAAATCTTTAATAAATAAATTTTTTAAAAAAGGAGTTTAAGTGTATGTTTCTTTCTTTTTATTTCATTTTACATTCCAACCACAGTTCTCCCTCCTACTCCTCCTCTAACCCCCACCCTTTGATTTCCCCCAGTTCAACCCTATCCACTCCTTCCAAATGGTAAGGCTTCCCACAGGAAATCAAAAAAGCCCAGCACATTACATTGAGGCAGAACCAAGCTCCCCACCCCATTAAGGCTGAATGTGTATTCCAAAAACCTTCATAATAAAAGTGTATATTAATTAAAATATGTAATTTACTCAATTTTGTGGAACATTCCGTTTAGTGTTACAATAATACCTAAGAAAATTGAAATGAAGCAACAGTATAGTTCTGCTGGGCATGGGAACACATGTCTTTAGTCCCTGCCCTTGGGAGGCAGAGGCCAGTGGATCTCTGTGAGCTCAAGGCCAGTCTGGTCTACAGGGTGAGTTCTAGGACAACCAGGGTTGTTACACAGAGAAACCTTGTCTTAAAAAACAAAAAGCAAAAAGCACAGTATAGCCTTTAATCCCAGCAGTTGGGAGGTAGCAGCAGCTGGATCTCTGTGAGTTCCAATTCCAGATCATCTGGAGCTACACAGTGAGACCCTGAGACAATAAATAGATGACAGATAGATGGATGGATAGATGGATGGATGGATAGATAGATAGATAGATAGACAGACAGACAGACAGGTAGATAGAGTCCACATAGTATAGCTGTGGCTGCCTGTACAAGAGCTGGAGAAGATCTGGCCTTTCAACATTTCATCATGATGGGGGAGAAGCTCATGAAAACTCGCCCTTCCTTGGGGGGGGGTTAATGAATGGCTAGGGGAAAGATTTTCGCTGCTATAGCCAATGGTAAGTGACCCGTGCTCAAGTAAATAACCCCACATCATGCTCAGCCTAATTCAACTCAGTCACAAAAATAAAGAAATGTAAGTGGGGGGACTAGATGGGAAGAAGAAGGTCCAGCAGGAGTAAAAAGAGAATGAGGAAGGATAATGGAGGGTGAATATGATCACAATACATTGTATATATTATGAACTTGTCAAAATATAATTTAAAAATGCTCTCTTAGATCTAATACATAGACAGTGATCCCATCACTATATATTTTAATATTTAAATAATATACTAGGGACTAGAGAGATGGCTCAGCAGTTAAGAGCACTGGCTGTTTTCCTGAGAACCCAGTTCAATTCCTAACACTTACATGGCAGCTCATAACTATCTTTAACTCCAGCCCCAGAGGATCCAATGCCCTTTTCTGGCCTCCTCCACAGAAACCAGGCACACATATGGTACATAGATACACATTCAGGCAAACACTCATATGATAAAATAAATAAAATCTCATAGAAATGCTATAATCTAAAATATAATTCCTTCTTTGGTTTTATTTTTCTCTAATAGGAGAGTCAAAAACTATGAAGGTCTTCCCTATCTTCTTTGATTCAAGAGAGACCCACTCTCAAACATTTCCAGGCTCCCACTCCTATTTTGGCTTTATGACTGAAAAATTAATTCACTTCACCTTAACATACAACCCATGCAGTCAGGTGACTCCCTAAACGTGTTAATATAGATGCTTTCATCTTCTGATGGAGATATTTTAAGGTTGACTTTTTCTCAAAGGAAACGAAATAAAGGCAGCATATTCTAAAACCCATCGTATCTGGGCGTATTTCAACACCCCTGAGACAGCCATTGGCAAAAATTAACTTCTAAAACATCCTAGCAGCAAAATGTAGCTCAGCTCCATTGCCTCCCCCCCGCCCCCAGCATACTTCTTAACCTGCAAAACCAAAGTGATATGAATGCAAGATGCATGTCTGTCTGCACGGAACACGATGCAATAATCGCATGTCTCCAATTCCATTATGCTATAATTAATCTTAATTACACATTCGACCCTGTCTGAGTTAAAAGACTCACAGAGCTTGAATCTTGTGTTGCCTATAATTCCAATGTGTTATTTTGAGAAATATAAAGTCATAAAAACCTTCTAATGCAATATGGTGTTTCCTTCCTAGGGGGGAAGGAGAGACCAACTGTGCTCATCCCAGCGTGTTCCCCACCATTTCCCGAGGACCCAGAGACAGCATTTTGTGTCCCAGTCTCCCCTTCCCAGGCTCGGAGCAGTCAGCACGGGGGGGGGGGGGAAGGCAAGGCTGATTATATATCCAGTCACCTGACAGAAGGGGCGGCACCCGTCCCTCTTCTACGTTTATGTTTCTCTTTAGTGTACTGAAGCCTGACTAAGGACTTGGCATTTGCCTCCTTTTCCGTGTATCATTGTGAGAATTTCCTGGGTTCTCTTTCAATCTTCCCCCTCTCGCTTTCACAGGCACTTATTAACCTTCTTGGAGCTCCTCCAGGCACACCCAGTAACTCCTACGGAGCAAAGGATCTTCTTAGAAGGCGGAGAGCTGCACCCACGGCAGCCCCTTTATTGTGGTACAATACAGACACTGCCGGCATTAGCTGTGAGGCCAATATCATTAGATCCTTTTCCCATCCACTGAGCTGTGGCGCAAACGGAGATTTCTTTAAAAAAAAAATATCTTTGGAGCTGGGAATTCCAGTTTCTGACCCCATGTTGCTTAGGGGAAAGAAATGTCTGCAACTATTAGAAAACGTTTTTCTTGAGAAAACATGAGAACTCCATTATGGTTTGTGGACTTTGACTGGACATGTTTTGACCCTGAGAAGGACAAGCTTTGCTTATTGGAGGGACAGGAAATGTTCATTAAAAAAACACTGCACCTCCTCCAGTGAAGTCTGGCAAAAGGGCTGAGTCCTCTTATACTGAACAAGGGAAGTAAAGCAAAAGCAAGGGCTGACGACGGCTGTCCTGTGGAGGGAAGATGGCGGAAGCCTGCTAGGGAGGATGAGGAAGTAGTGGGACACCTAGAACATGGGAGACTCCATATGAAAGCTTTAACCATGCTGTGACACCCAGGGGCACAGCTTTTCTGGAGGCTAGAGTGACCTGCAACATCCATTCCGGGAGCGGCTTCCTATAGCCTCAGAGAAAGGTATGAACTTAGCCTCTTCTTTTCTGCACTTTCCAGAAAGCATAAAGGCTCCCTTTATAAGAGAGGTACCATGTAGGTAGATTGGGCTTCTCAGTGTTGTGCAGATGACAATTCTCTCCAAGAGACACCAGAAAGAGACCTGTAGATTATCCTGTCACCCAGTTTATGAAAAAGCAAAGAACTACTGTAGTATAATCAATGTACACTTTCTTTTCTTATCTTTTTTCTTTCTTTTTGTTTTTGAGGCAGGGACTCTCTACATAGTCATGGCTGTCCTGGCACTCGCCCGGTAGATCAGGCTGGCCTCGAACTCACAGAGATCTGCCTGCCTCTGCCTTCAGCGAGGAGATTAAAGACATGTGCCACCACATCTGACTCAATGTGCTGCCTCTTGATCTGGATCCTCGCTACATCAGAGTGTTGAGCTGTCCGCTTACATATGTGTACTTTTCTGCCTTTATGTAGCACTTTTCATTTTTAGGTTTATTTATTTTATTTTGCATATATTACTAGTTTTCCTATTTGTGGTATGTGCACAATATGTGTGCTTGGTGCCCTCAGAGGTCACATGAGATGTCAGATTCCATGGAACAGCAGGTACAGTTTTGAGCTGCCATGTGGGTGCTGGGAATTGAACCCAGGTCCTCTACAACATCAGTAAATGCTCTTAATCACGGAGCCCTCTCTCTGTCCACAAGTGTAAATTCAAAGGCTGCTTTGGAGGCTGATGAGATGGCTAAGTGAGTAGGAGCACTTGCCACCAAGTCTGGAGACCTAAGTGGCAGAAGGACAGAGTTGTCCTTTTAACTCCACACGAACTTGCACACACACACCCACACACACACACACCCACACACACACACACACACACACACACACACACAGTGCACACATAAGGAGATAAGAAAAGCTTCTTAAATGTAGTTTTCAATCACTTTAAAAGAATTCAAATGGCGGCCCTTGTCAAAGCTGCAGCTGCTTCTGCATAACTGATGTGGTCAAAAGAAGCCCCAGCTAACCGTTTTCCTTACCTGTCATTACCTGTTTCCATTTGCTGTAACACATCTGTAAGATCTTGGAAAAAAGCAGCTCCATCTCGACATTTCTGAGAAGTAGCCAGAGAGTTTTGTTCCCACCGGCTACTCTACAACTATTGAATCTTGAACATGGAGTCAGCAGAATAGGGCTTTGGGAAGCAGTTTGCTGAGCCCAATAAGCAACATGAAGGGGCTCTTGCAAGTATGTTCACATCTAGTGGCACATAGCAATGCTTTGCGTCACTGCCCTGTAAGCTAAGGCTGGTCAGGCCATTACATTCCTTAGTGCTAGGTACAGGGAGCTATAAGATCATTGTGGATAACTGTGTTAGCATTAAAAAAATGAAGTAAGAATTCAAATGTTATTTTTAAAGACTAAATCATCCGTTTTCAAAGTAAAAAAATAAAAAAATAAATAAATGTTCACTGAGTGGTGGTGGTACACACCTTAAATCCCAGCATGCAGGAGGCAGAGGCAGGTGGATCTCTGTGAGTTCGAGGCCAGCCTGGTCCACAGTCAGGACAGGCTCCAAAGCTACACAGAGAAACCCTGTCTCAAAAAAATAAATAAATAAAAATAAAATAATGTTCAAAATTTAGAAATGAGTGGTTGTACACTTCTTGGTTTCTCATCTGCCTTTTTTTCATATTGAAATCTCTCGTGTCTGTGTGTGTGTGTGTGTGTGTGTGTGTGTGTGTGTGTGTGTGTGTGTAGGCAGACATGCATGCCCCGTGGAGAACAAATGGAAGGCAGAGAACCACTTGAAGAAGCTGATTCTCTTCTTCCTCTATGCCCGTCACGGGAGTTGAACTCAGGTTGTCAGCTTTGGTAGCAACACCTTTACCTGCTGAACCATTTTCTCAGCGCCAACTGCCTTTCTGAAACATGTAGGTACTACCTATTTCCCCTCTACTCTTGAAAAAATGCTGACATTTTGTTTTATTTTGTATTGTGAGACAGAATCTCAGGTAGCCACAGCTGGCCTTGAATTCACTATGTAGTTAATGACAACCTTAAACTAGTGATCCTCCTGTCTTTGCCTGCTAAATATTGTCTCATGCTGCCACGCCCAATTTCTACGGTGTGGAGGATCTGATCCGGGGCCTCATGCATGCTAGGCAAGCATTCTACCACTGAGCAACATTCCTAAGCCCATTTGACATCTTTTCTCAGTTCCTTTATTTTCCCCTATTTTTCCTGCCCACACACTTTAAGGTACTTGAAAATTATTGGTTAGTGGGTCTTTTCTGTTCCAGAATTAAAGCAAGTACAGCAGGACCCTTTGCTTAAACCATAGTATTGAGCCTCATTGTTCACCAAAAACAACTAGAACAATAGTACTGAATAAAAGATAGAAGAAGTATTTAGAAGTCTCACTCCTGGGTCGAGAGAGATGGTTCAGGGGGTAAGAGCACTTGTTGCAAGGGACTGGGGTTCATTTCCCAGAACACACATAGCGGTTCACAGGCATCTTTAGCCCCAGCTCCAGTGGATCTGATGCCCTCTTCTGACTGCCACACACACCAGGCACGCACATGGTGCACATACATGCAAACAGGCCAAACATTCATACACATAAAATAAAATAAATAAGTCTTTAAAAACATTTCTCAGTCTAGAAGCCAGCAAGATGGCTCATCAGGTAAAAGCACTAACCACCAAGCTTGACTGCCTCAGTTCAATCTCTGAAACCCACATGGTGGAAGGAGAGAGCTGCCAAGAGTTGTCCTCTGATCTCTACACACAAGCCGTGCTATTCACATGCACACACACACACACACACACTCACAAACACACACACACACTCACAAACACACACACTAAATATAAAGGAAAAAACTCTTCACCTACTGAGAAACATCTCACATTCTAGGGACCATATACTTTGTAAAGCCATTGGTACTGACTTGTGCTTTCTGTGATGAAGTCACTAATCTTGAGTCGAATGCCTTCACAGATAACAAACAACTGTGCTCAAAAGACATCTTGGGAGTGAGTAATGATCACGTATTACTGAGCTCTGTTTAGAACTCCATAACTCAAGGCTGACTGAAGTCAATAAACGGTGGAAAAAGGGGGCATTGTGGCATGAAGACCGGTTTACATGCTACACTGGGGTTGGGCTTGTTTTCCACTAATCTTCCTGAAGGGACCTGGAGACTTGATTGTTTTCTGTTTCTGAAATTGTCCTCAGCTAGACAACGATCACCGAACAGCGAGCTGCATGGCTCTGGCATATCATATGTGCCTCTGGAAATGAGGGCATAAACAATGGCAACACAAAGATATATTAAAAAATACATAATGTAACTTGTCTTAATATACTTTTCTGAGTCTAAAAATATGCCAGACCAAAAGAAACATATTTACATAAAAAGCAGACAAGGTCAAATAACAAAGAAAGCCCTTAATTAGTTGTAATCAACTTTAATTTGCATACGGTATATAATTCCTAAATGATTGTTAATAATAACTTTATATAATGGACTTCCAATTTTCATGAAAATGGCACATTTTGATAAGCAGACACAAAACCCTAGTACTAATAAGGTTTAATTTGCATACATTAGACTGATTATCCAAACAAAAGGATTACAGTATTACTTCTCCATACCTTTATGTCCTTATTATGCACATTTATTAACTTCACAAAAGCTAGCTGTTAGTGACAAACAATAGCCATGGTTGAAAAAGAAATCTACAGAAGGAAGAAAGTACATTTTAATGCTAAGGAGAAAACTTTATACATCACAGATGCCAAATTTAACTGTTTGTTGCTTAAAAGGGCCTGGATTTCACAGAGCTTTTCACCCTTTGAATAAAACAGCTTGTTTTTTTGTGACCTGAAAAAAATGCCCTAACACATCACTCGAATTTAATAATGAACTTATCTCAAGCTAAGAAGGCTCCTCGACACCACAGTATGCTGAGAATTCATGAGCAGCCACAGAATTAAGCTTTAAATGTGGTTCTAGGGTGCAGCGTTAATAAATATATTTCAACAAGCTTAGTTTTCAGCCGAGTAAATAATAATATAGGTGGCATTAGTATTGATATCGGTTCCTAATGGTATCATTTATACCCTGCAATTAAAGTTTAAGCACTAAATACAGCATTATTAGGAGATCTGGGTTGGCTTTTCTTATATGTGCACACAAATGAAACTCATGAGTGTTTGGCTAAGAGCCAAAAAACTTGAAACTTAACCACAAGCTACTTCCGGGGATTTTCTTAGTGTTTTTGCTGCTTGGCAAGATAGAGAGAATTAGAACAGCAGGAAGTGATTTCCAAAGAACACGGAGGGAAATGGAAGCCCTGGGGAACTGAACTTGACTCCACGGGTGTTTAACTCTGACCCCTCACACATAGGGTCCAAGTTAAGAGCCATCTGCTAGGAATGTGCCTGTCTGAATATCCAGTGACATTTTTACTAGCGTTGTGCTAAGTAAGAGAGAGGGCTGGCGAGGGAAGGCAGCTCAGCAGGGAAGCACTTGCTGCAAGTCTCACAACCCGAGTTTGATCCCCAGAAACCACGGTAGAAGGACAGAAGTCACTCCACAAAGGTTTTCTTTAACCTTCGCATGTGTGCTGTAACATGGCACATCACACACACATGAGAGAGAGACAGAGACAGAGAGCGCACATTGCTGAAGGACAAAGGGCTTTAAACCTTCCTATGCTCCTCATGAACCGTTGTTACCCCCTGTTCAAAGTTTCAAAATCCTACCAGAGTTGAATGAAGAACATACTTAACTGACAAGCCCCTATGGAACAGGATGCCCTGAAATTCCTATGCCATCCCCAGAGCGTAGAACGCACATGATTCATGTAAAGCATTCAATGTTCACTTATCAAATACTTGAACAAGAAATACTAGGTCAGAGATGACCACTCTCACAGTTTGTGCCTTCCCTCCCCTCTAAGTTTCTCAACTGTTCGGAATCAAGTACTCTAGGTACTAGAGTCTAGGAGACATTTGATGTAAACCATCATCCAGCCAGTGTAAGAACGAAGGCTACAAAGCCAGTTCAGCAGATCAAGGCACTCAATACAGAAGCATGGCAACCTGGGTTAGATCCCTAGAAACCATGTAAAGGTGAATGGGGAGAACCAGCTCTACAAAGTAACCCTATGACCTCCACATGCAGGCCATGCCATATGCACCCACATATCCACATCAAACATGAGTGTATGCTGTGTGCAAGTTTTGCACGCAAGTGTATTGGGCGTCTGGGCACGCACATAAATCATTTTTTTTTAAAGAATGGAAAGCTAAGGAAAACTCCTGCTCCCCTAGTCCAGTGGTGCACACCAATGGTGACAGCACTTGGGAGACTAAGATAGGATCATTTGAACCCAGAACTTGAAGCCATACTGAGCAACACCAGCCCCTACTCAAAGAGTTTGTGTATGGGCGTGTCATAACTTTATGTGCTTATTTCCTCTAAAAAATGAATTTCAAACTGGACAGACAAGTAGTAGTAAATAGGCCTCTAGCACGCAGCATAAAAATCACTGCAAAGGATCCATAAAATAATAAAGCACTAATGTTGGAAGAGAGCCATTAGTAATAAACTTCAAACTATTACAAGAAGACAGGCATGGTAATGTAGACCTGTAGTCCTAATACTCTGGAAGCTGAGGCAGGAGGATCACTTGAGCCCGGGATCTGAAGACAATCAGTCTGGGCAACATAATGAGACCCTGTCTTTAAAAAGTAATAAAAACAACCAGTGAAGCAAGAATTGTTTTGACTGTTCTGTTGTCAAAGCAGCATGAAACAGTGACGGTTACTCAGCCTAGGGTCAGCATGGGAGTGTATCCAAGACAGAGACATTGACTTCAGCAGAATCATCTGTACGAAGAACACAGGATTGGGGTCCAGAAACTAAATAACTAAAAACTACCCTAATGTGATTTATCCAAAAGCAATGTTCAGACAGCAGCCTACTTTCAAAAAACTCAAAAGTTTGGCATGCTACTAATTTTATTTCAACCTCAACTGTCTATATGTGTAGATTTTCCAAACAGGCACTCTCTGCTCCTACCCAGC